CTTCTTTAAGATGGTGTTGGCTATTTAAGCTTGAGGCAACATGAGAAAATTGATATTTTTATGATGAAATTCAACCTGCTACAAATAGGGCACCAGGAATCCTTTTAAAGGTAATCATCTACCTGTGTCTCTGCAAGCAAAATTATTGATGCAATGAATAAAAGCACTGTGGCATAAATAACACATTTGTATATCCCACATTTTAGATTCTTTTCACTTTTAGGGGTATGTTTTTCAACGGAAGCATTTATGCAGAGAGCTCACCTTTCAGGAGCAGGTATAGCCTACTGGTTTATTTTCTTTTGCTTCTCATTGTGACTTGTTCATACTGATAAAAGCCTATTTTGTATAGCACGAGGACAAGAACATGACTTGAAAACTTGCAACTCTGCCCAGCACTATGGCAGGATGAAATGGAAATTTGTTCTTGCTGTTTCCACAGATCTTTTTGATGTGAATAATAAAGCCAATAGAAGGAACAGGATTGCTGTTCCACAAAAAGTTTCGAGTTTTACTGATTTTTGTTTTGATCTAGATCTGCCTAAAGTTGCAATTTCAAATTTTCCTACTAATTGAGAACTTGTAGAATTCTGATTCAAATCCACCAAAACATGTAATGAAGCAGCTCTCCTGCTTCATTGGCATTCTCTTCAGCTTTCCTGCTGCTGTTGGCACAGAAGCTGACAGGAATACCAATGTCACTGAGCAGGCAGGTTGTTCCCAAAATCTATAATTCTGGGCAGTTTATCCCAGAAGGGAACTGTACTTTGAGAAACACCAGCATTCAGATGGATTGACTGTTCCATGATCACAGAGCTCAAATTTTCTACCATTAACGAGGGTTAATGCCCTTCAGGGATTCAGCAAGGTTTTTTAGAACTCTTCCTGGCATCCACAGATTTCATCAGTGTCACTGATGGAGTGAATTGCCTCTGCTTAAGGCTCCCATGGTTTCTGAGCTCCAAGGCTCCAAGTCATTATAATGCAAAATATACAGGCACTGCTCAGGATTTGGAGATTTTTGTATCAGAACATGCAAATTTTCATTTATTTTTATCCTCTGCAGTGAACCTTTTGTCTCTAGTGAGAGCAAGAGCAAAGGTGGTGGCAGAGTGCCACCTGAAAATAGCCAACAGCCTGTTAATGTCATTTGCTCATATCCATGCCCCAGCTCTGACTAAGTCTACAGAGGCCACCTCATCTGGCCATATTTTAAATATTCTTCTTCTCTAGTGTCCTCTAGGTCGTGGTTGCTCTGTGTTCCTTACTGGTATGTACCTGTTTGCTGAATTAGATTTCAGAGAAAAAACTGTAAGACCTGTAGCAAAAAATAGCTTAGTCATTTTTGCAATCAGTCTCCCCACCTCTTAACAGAAACAAATTTAGGGCTGCTTCAGTGTAGGGAGAATCTTTTTTAAGAAGAAGCCTGATACCAAAATAAGATTAAAGTTGACATTTTGACTGTAGGTCCTTCTAGCTGAGGAATAGATTATTAAAATACTTTTAATTATAAAAATCACTTAGGTCTCTTATACTACAAAAAGTAATATTTTAGAGGGTTGGGCAGTATACACTCAACAGAAGAGCTGACATGGATTAATCTGCCCACTGGGATGCCAGTCAGCCAATTTGGTTCTCTCAATGACTTACCAAGTTCTGATATACTGAGGACTGAATTTGACTTATCATCAAAGTTCTATAAGTCAGGTGGGATTGATACTCTTATAACAGCTCCACTTGTTTTTCTTTTTCCTTTCTTTAATTAAATAAGAGAGTTAGTGAAATTGCATTTTCTATCTTTGCTGTGCAGACCCACAGAGCAGGTATAAAGCTGTCTTTGATGTGCTACGAGTTCATGATTTTAATCTAGCCAGATGAATTGCACACCTATATATTTTCTGACAGTCACAGTAGCCAGCCTACAGGAGCTGCTTGAGGAGCATAAATTAGCCATATGCCAGGGGGTTTCATTAACAAACATCTTAATATGAGCATTGATCTCTCGGAATGCGGCGCCTCGGCTGTAATAACAATGTTCAAGTTGCTCTATTATGCTTAGATGTGCATTTTCCTCTTCAGCAGATAGTAGAGTTATTGAGCCTTCCACAAATAAACCATGTAAGAAGCAGCTAAGTATGTTAAGAGCCAACTCCTGGTCTGCTGTAAATTAGTGTGGATTTGCTGACTTCAGAGGGGGGGTTCTTGCCATCCCTGTCCATATGAAAATATGGGCGCAGTGGCAAGCAAACAACCCGATCGGCTCAGATCACACCGAGAGGGCCCGTGTTCTGCTCAGTGTGGCAGCTGCAGCTGAAAAGGAAGTATCTGTGTGTAGACAGGACTTGAAAGAGCTGCAGAGCACTCTGATAGTGCTCAGATAATGCTCTGTGAGCTGGGAGCACTATCAGAGACCATTCAGAGCAGCAGCATATTTGTAATTTGTGTGCATCACACTTGACCACTGTGGGACCCGAGACAAAATGTCTCTTAGCTGAATGCTAACCTGCTCTGATCCTATGCCATTGATACTGGTAGAGACATAGACACACACACTTTATCCTTAAATATAAGACTGATATTTTAATAATTAAAACTATAACACTTAAAAATAAGTAGGATACTCGAAAGCTCAGAGTCCATCTGTTTAAATCGAAGATGCAGAAGTTTAGAGTACGAAATTCTTATGGGCAATTTTCAAAAGGGTAATTTTGTGACCAATAATTAACACTACAAGTTAGATAAACTAAAATAAGGAACATGCTATAATTTTAAGAAGTAAAAGCTAATTGCCTATTAAGGGTCAGGGAGCAAGAAGAAATTCCTTCACTACTAACATCTCACAGGTTGCTTGGAGGTAGATGATGAGATTCCATCAAGGAAATCATCATCCTTCTTTCTTTATGCCCTGTATGGACCCTGACAGTGGATCATAGGACTTAGCAGGGACATTTATAGCTCTTCAAGACAGATGGAAGCAAAGCTGTGGACTTGGTAGCAGGTATTGTGGCCAACACAGGAGAATCCATCACTTGGATATGTGAGCGACCTATTGTTGCTTCCCACTCTCTTCAATAAGGGCTTGACAGACAAGAATTCATGCTGTGTGGTACCTAAACTATAAAAAGTTTACTGGAACTATTGGTGAGTAATCGAGCTTTGGTTTGCACTATTTCCTGCAGCATCCAGTGCTCTGCACGTTACAGTTCTGTTCCCCTGACATCAGACTTTACCAAGAGGACAAGCACCTAAAAATGGACCAGGACATTAGCAAATCCACCCTTTCCTCTATAACTAAAAAGACAATTATATCTTAAAAATCATACAGTATGTTAACCACAATGCTGAAATATTACCACTCGGCTTTAAGGAAAGAACATTAAAATATTTCCTTATATGAGCATGCACGCACTCACCTGAACTTATTTTCAATGTTCCTCATGAAGATAAATCTCTTGCCACACTCAGTGCTTGTTAACAGTTCCAGTTTTCTCAGAAATCAATATTTATTCCAGAGAAAGTGACTGGATTTGGAATGGGATCATTTCATTTCTTGAAATCAGAACATGAAATCAGTTAGTCGCAAAACAATATTTACCACTTAATGCAATCTCTTATTTCGGATTTCTACTGTGCTAAATTTTTAGATCTGAATTTCAGTGGATAACTTTTGTTTGATTCCTTACTGGGGTCTATTCTCCAGTTAATGTGTTGTGTCATGAACTTAAGGACATACACCATCAATTTATATTCATTATTTTTCAAATAGTGGAAAAAAGCCTAAGCAATATTCAGCCTGAAAACTTCTTTCTAATTTTATCTTGCTTATTCTGATATACTTCCAAAAATCACAACTCAGTTGCATATCAAGATATTCTCAAAACTACAAAATAAGCTACTAATAGTTTGGAGACATTTTCAAATCCTTATAATTCCACCATTTAGGGAGAATAATTTTACAGGGATATCAATGTTTCCATGATTTCTGAACCTGATACAATGGAATATATCCTAGAGTTGTTAATCCAGTTTTGCGGATGAATAGAAATTATAAAAATATTTTTAAATGTCTTTTACACCCAATGATGACTCATGTTCATTATGTTATCTGGGTAGTTGGTTGGAAGCAAATTTTGTATTAATTTGTGAACAAGCAACATTAGCAACTGCAAAGGATGCTAATGATGCAAATGTAAAAAATGCTTGTTATGAAATTAAAATCTCTGACAGTGTACCAATATTGGATTTTGAAATATTCCTAATGCAGCTTTATTGGTGTCTGGAAAATGATCTAGCAAAGATTATTGCACTTTCAACTGTAATAACAGACTAATCATTCAGAATATTTGCTGGTTCCCTCTGTAATTTCTTCTATGCTACAGGAGACCTATTGGTGAATTTAAAAGGAAAAAACCAATCTTGTTAGGTTTTCTGTCACTCACATATAATTACCATGAGCAACTGTTTTTATTTTTCTCTAGATGTCATTATATTGCTTTACAAAAGTCTATGCATTTTATAAATACAAAAACATTTGAAGAATTCTGTTCTTTCATGTTATGCTGGAATTGTTTTTATGTTTTTATGTTTTATAAACATCCCCAAAAGGGCAGGATGAGCAGCTGAGAAGATTCAAATACTGGATTTGTGTTTCATTAGCGGTTTATCCTTATAAACTAAGTTTCTTCAGGCTGAGTTTTATATGGAAAACAAGGTGTAAGTCAACAATACATTGGTTAACATTGCTTTGAAAAGAGTTTGGTTGGTTCATTCATCCCTTTACTCATTCAATGACTGAAAAAATTATTTCCCTTAAAATGATGGGGGTGTGATAATCTAATGAGAAAAGTAATGTACTCCCATTTTGGTTTCTCATTAAAATAGTAGAAATAGAAGGGATGGAGGAAAAAAATAAATTTAAGCCTATGCTTCATTTTGGTTTGTGAGCATTGGGAAAAAATCCATTTAAAATTTAATTTTCCCTTTTTTCTCCTTCCTTTTAGGCCTTGAAGGAAATACCTTTCCAGCCAGCAGGTAAGAAATAAATATTCATACAGAATTGAGGAGGCAATATAATGGGTCTGTAACAGCAGTTGTCTCCATCTGTTGCATTTTGCTCATTTTACTCTATAATTTTCCTTTGGTATGGAGTTGCTGTACTTTTGCTTTCTGATCACACACCTTTACTCTGGATAGCATCTTGGATAGGAAGACAGATACAGCTTGTGATGGACATAAAATCTTGTCTATGCTTCCTTTTTGAGCCCTGATAGCAATTCCTGGGCATGTATTAGTTTCTTTAATACCAGTTTTTAATCAGCCAAACTTGCAAACAGACTAAAGAGAAAAAAAAAAGAGATACAGTGTAGTAATATTAAATGTAATTAAGGTAACAAAATCAAGAGAATATTGAGACTTACCAAACTAATAAAGTGATTTTTATTGACCTCTGTAGTTCATTTTCTATACAGATTCTAAGCAGAAATAAGAAGTTCCTATGGCCTACCAGCAATACCCTGTGTTGTTTTAATAGTTTCCTAAGGTTCACTGAAAACAGGAAAGCCAGAGAAGATCATGGGGTTAAAATGCAAGTTTTCCTTTTATTCTTAAAGTTACCGAGTGAATGCTTCTCATAAATTTCTGCGTTACTCTGTTAAAAATATTGGATGAATAACCATTTTTTTACCTGCAAATCTTTGAAGTATGAAAAGCAGAGATAATTTTAAAACTATTTTCTCATACCAGTGAATGGTATGAGGTATGTCATGTGAGGAGTGCTGGCAGACTTCATGTATTAAATCTGACCTATCAGTGAGTTATTTGTTGGGAATTTACTGTAAGGAAAAATGAATACAAGGGAAACCAACCAGTAATATTTTCTAGGAGAAACATGATTTCTAGGATTCACAGGAGAATTGTGATTTAAAATTCTTACCTGTGGGAAGTTGCCACTTCTTTGTGTGTGTGATTTACCTTGACATTTTCTCAGATCTGTGCTTGTTACTTGTCCTAAAATCCCAAAATGGCAAATAATATTTTTAAGCAATTTTTCTGTTAGAAAGATGAAAGAGGAAACCTTTCTGCATCACACAGATTAGGGATAGGAATGCTAAATAACTCTTACAGCCCTTCAAAGTTCAGTCTTTGAGCTTTCTTTGCCAATAAAAGGCATTTTGCTGGTATTCTCAGCAAAGCTGCCTGAAAATTATATTGATGCAGATATAAGTAAATACTACTAATGCTTTAATCCTCTATCAGAACTCAACTTTCATAATCTGCAGGTGGAATAGCACCACAGGAAAAAAATTGCAGATTAGAGTTATGGCTGGAAATTTAAGCTTTGAAATGAGAGGTCGTTGGCAGATACACTGAGCTTCAAAGGTACTGTACTCAGTGCTGGGAAGCTGGCAGCTGAGATTTCAATGAAATATATGGAGAAGATAATATCAAATAATATTATCTCTATATACTTTTACAACACGAGCACAAATAAAAGATTATTCTCTGATATTACAGTGTGAAATATAGAAGGTAAAGCTGAATACAATATTCTGGCAAGTAAACAGGCAGAGGAGACAATCTTACCTGAAACCAATGTATCAGAAGGCTCATGTGGTGTTTCAAACCTGTAGCATTTGGACAGATCAAGGTTCTCCAGGTACATTCCTGTGCTTTCCTACAGTACCAAAATCTAACAGAAAAAAGAGCTACAGCAAGTAACACCTAAAAGTATTTAAATATATTATTGCCTTGTAGGTACATCTGTGTTAATGATTGAGAATGACAAAAACACTTGAAGGAGAAATATTCAGAAAGATACTTTCTGTTCAAATCTTAAAATTAGTAATATTGTTTTACACTAGAATTTGGGAACTCCGCGTTTCACTCTAAGTGGCGCTGTGGCTGTGCTCTGTAGTTCTCTGGGAACTCAAGGAATGGTAAACAAAACTCTTATTCACCAGTCTGCAGATAGGGTTGGAAAGTGACTGGTGAGGTCTGCTTGCTGACACCTCATCAGCCTAATTACAGGAGGTCAGAGCAGGGACAGCATAAACTGATAATTATTTACATACAACGTTGCAGGATAATTGCTTGGGTTACACTGTCTGTCAAGGTAAGTGTTGGAAGTGCTTGAATGGCAGTGAATATTCTCAAGCATACATTTTTTTTCCTCTTAAGGATCTGATTCAAAACACATTAAGGTCAGGGACCGACGAATTTCAGTAGATTTGGTATCAGGATCTGAAAAGTGCAGGGTGCCTGAATTTATCTTTCTTTTTTTGGAGGAAGTGCACAGCACACTATAAGCAGGTTATCTCTGATATGGCCCTCACGACAGGGGGCAGTGTGTTTGCTCTGCAATTCCCTTGTTTGTTTAAGCTGCTCTACGCATTTCCACATGCACTGCATCCATTAATTTGTTTATTATTTCACAAATGAAGCATTGTCTTCTCTACAAGGATTGCCATTTGCAGAGAATCTTTCTTCTCAGTGTATTTCTCTTCTATTTCCTTAAGCACCACTCTTACCTGCTGTGTTGGACCCACACCAGTGCCTCACATCACAAAGGTAAATTAATGCATTGAAAATGCATAATGTCTCGTCCCTACATTCTTAAAATCATGGAGAATTTTTATGATCATTGCTTTAAAGCTGAAGAATGTGCATTGGTTTGGGTTTTTTTTCTCACTAAACCACTTATAAAGATGGAGTTTAATGTTTGCTTGACAGTGCTTCTGGAGACAGACAGGATGTGGGCTTGTACAGATTCAGAATATTTTGAGCAATTGAATCCACTTTGGCTCTAGATAAAGGTATGTAATGTAATGAATTTGGTAATGCTCATTCTTATTTTTAATTTAAATTAATATTTGTGACTTAAATGTAAGTTACATAAAAAATGTCCAGCTGTAACCTCTACCATTTAGAAGCTAGGAATGAAAAACATGACCTATAACAGAGATTCCTTCTGCAAGCAAACTGCAAAGAAAAATCATGTCAGTTAGATGTAGCCTTCACAATTGTCATCTGAACATTCCTAAGCAATCACACTTTTAACTGTTCCTGAATTGTAGCACTGAAATCCAAAAAACTGGGATGCAGGTAGGTGTAGGTATTTCACAGGATATTTGGAAATACCTTAGTCTCATGCTCTTAAATGAATAATGTATTTAATGACAGAATGAGTTTTACTCTGGAAAAAAAATTAAAATATTTACTGAAATAGAGTTTACTACTGAAAAAGCATTCTTTTCTTGATAAATACATAGCTGTCTTCTTACCAGCATACAAGAAAGCACTCAGGGCATTCCTCTAAGCTGTTAGTGACTTCATTGAAATGGACACTGAAAAGACTCCTGGTTTAGCTCCTGTAAATAATGTTTTTAGTAAGAGTAGGGAGACAGGTGAAACTGGAAGAATTACAAGAAAAGCTATTTATTAGCATTCATGTTACAAATTGTTGTCTCTGTGCATGACGTATTTGAGAACAGTTTTCTTTCCTTGGAACAGCAAAATCCAAATGCATATGTAAAAGAGGAAAGCATTCTAATTCTCTTTATTTGCCTCTACTGACAAAGCTTAGTTCTTGATGATCTGAGCAGTTTTACAGTTAAGAATTGGTCTCCAGTATTAGTAAATTCAAGGAGATTCAGATTTGCCAGCTGGCACGTTCTGAAAAATTGGGTCATATAATAGCATGGTGCAAATCCTCAAACCACCTCAGTATAAAGTTGTGACAGATGCTACCTCTTCCCTCACTCTAACACCAAACATCTCATGACAAGCACTGTGTGAAACAGAGAACTTTCCCTGGCTTAGTCTGATCTGTGTTTATCTCTAATGGCAGCTGCTAAAGTGCCTTGGCTAAATAAACCCTCGGTGTAAGTCAAAATGGATCCAGATCTGATCTTCTGTTCTTTTGGATGTACTTTTCATGTGTTTGCTGTTTTAATGTTTCAGTCCTTGTAGAGAATTTTTTAAGGAACAGAATTTTTACAAAGCAGTTCATTTTTCTTCTTCTTCTTCTTCTTCTTCTTCTTCTTCTTCTTCTTCTTCCTGGTATGAAATATTCTTAAATTAGACCCATTAAAAATCTACTGTGTTGCTGAGAGTGCACATGCTGGAATTCTTTTCCCCCACTAATGTGAAGTGGGAAAAGCAGGAGTATCATTATATTAATGGATTGTGGGAAATATCCTCAACTACCCCCCAGTTTACAAAGCAAAATGTAACCGTGTACAGAACCATAATAAAAGCAATCTGGCTGCAGAAGGCTGTAATAAAAGGATGATAAGTAAAATCCAGCTTCATATCACCATGACAAGTAATTCCTACCTGAATTCACTGATCCAAACCCTGCTCTCCTTTGTAAGACAAACAAGACATTGAAGCTGTCCTGAAGGCTCAGGGATGACAATGTGCTGGAGGTAGAATTTTGCTCAGGAGTAGGGACCTTCTAAAGTGTGAGACTTACATGAATCAAAACCATATTTGTGCTGGAAATTCTAGGATCTACAAGAATTTCCCTCCTAAATCCACATATTAAATCCTGCTGTTAAAAAGAAAAAAATGTTTATTGGCAAGCCAGTACTGTCTTCCCTCCAATTGTTCTTTAAAACATTTTTATTATACCTAAAAGGTCAGAGAACTTTGACATACTTACCTGTTTCACAGTGTACAGTGAGCTGTATGCATTGAAAGATGCAATAGTGAGAAGGGTTACAGAAAGCAGTTACCTAGAAATTTTTAAAATCTGAACTTAAACCAAGGGAGATTATTAGCTGGATGTAGGGAATAAGTTCCAGGATGACTCCCCTTATGCAAGACATCCTGATGAAGTATTGTTTCATAATCAAGTGACGACAGAAAGGATTGGTTTCACCCAATGTAAATCAAATGTATTTTAAAGCATACAGTTATTTTACAAAAGTGTAGGTATTACCTGCTTCATTTTCTCTTTGCAAAGACAAAGGGAAAATTGCCATGCTGCATCACAGTAATTCTTGTCATTGAACTAATTATTACAATGGTAGTGTAGCAGTAGTCACTGTTTGAGCAATTTCTGGCCAATTTATCAATATCAGAGTCTTAATAGTTTGATTAAAACCAGAGGCATATGTCAAGTGGGACCTTAATTTTCTTCCTTGATGATAATAGACATTTGCCAAAATGGCTCAATATCAGATTTTTTTATTGGCAAGTTGGAAACGTGTCATAACGAGGCACAAAGCCAGAGACTCCAAATTAGCTGGCAGACTGACAAAAACCAGAATTATATTTAAAGCAAAGAGAATAAAGCTTCTTTTGGATGAAAGATCAAAGTTGTTTCTGGCATGAAAAATACCTGTTGCCAAGGAGGTGTAAATCCTGATCTCTGCTCTTACTGTCTCCAAGGGCAGTCATATCTAAGACTGAAACAAATTGGTTTATGGATGTAGGTAATACAATAATGCAGATACACATACAACAGGCCCCACCAAAGCATCTTTGGGTTCTCCATTCTCCTATTCCCAACTTCCAAGGCATGATGGTTTTATCTGGCACTTGACTTTACACCTTGGAGAATAATGAAGATGCAATGTTCTGGCTTGCCAGTCATTCCTTGGTCTTGGTTCAAACCTGAGAGAACAGGGAGGGTGGCAGGAAGACAATGATCATCCACTTTCTTGTAACTGTTGCCTTGTAACTTGAAAGCAGACACAATCTTTGCCTATCAAAGAATCCTTTTATCAGGCACAGCACAGGCAAGCTGAATATGGATTGCCCTCTAAAAACAGATACGTGCCTTTTCATTATTTTATGCAGGCAACAATAATGTCAACATAACATAAAGCAAACTAATACCGCTGAAAATAACACACTCATTTCTAAAGACAAGGTATCTCCGGGGGCCAAATATTGAAATTCAAGGAGAAAAAGATGAGAGTTTGCATACTGGTGAAGATTTTGATTTTGATTTTGATTTCAACAGCAAGTGCAATGAACACATCCGAGAAAAAGGTTTTGTCTTGAAATATGCAGTTAATCCGGTTCCTCACCTCTGTTTCCCAGTCCCAGCGTTTCCCAATTAGATTTCTATTTCAGTACTGTTTCTATAGCAAGGAACTTGCATAAAAGAGAAGGAGTGGGAGATTTTCAAAGTACCCATGCTAATTAGGTGTCCAGCTCTCATTGATTTTGAATAGGAGCTGGGTCCTTCAGAACTCTTTATGCCTTTGAAAATGTCTCCTGTAATCTCTCCCCACTCTCTTTGTGCAGCCTCTGGCGTTCAAAGGCTTCCAGCCCAAAGAAGAGACAGCACATGATGCCTGGGTTCCATTACCCTTCCTGTCAGAACTAATATTTACAACTGGAAGGTTTCAAAAGGATAGCCTATGTGTTGTTGACAGAAAGGAACTTTAGGGCTGTTAATATTTTACACATTAACTCCTTACCTGCTACAGTGCCTGCTTCTGTGTGACTTTGAAGGTTTCAGCAGATCTGTGTGGATTCAATAGATTTGTCCGTGAAGGACTGTAACATCACTGCTTAACTCTGTGATAAATCATCTTCAGAAACATAACACCAAGACAGAATTACAGATCTGAATGATTTCACTATTTTCTAAAACCATGACTCAATTTTAAGGCCAGATAAGCTGGGAATTAGTTATTCCATGTACCATGCTCAAATGTTCGAGATTAAATGTCATATATTTAAATGCACAGGTATGTATTACATCCCTTTTGATAATCTATTTTACTGACCAGTAGTTAACAATTATTTCCCCAAGATTTTAAGTATTCTCCTAGTGGTTCTGAAAATCTGCTCAAATAACCTAAAAAGAAGTACTGAGTCCTTTCAGAAAGCTTTTTCTAGGAAAGGATTTTGTTTATTTTAATAGCTGAAGTGAAGTACAGCACAGTGAGTGTTCACTGGATGCAGCAAAGCAAAGCTTGTTCACCTCTGACTCTTAACTGTGAGGGATATCTTGCCTTATGGGATAAGGAGAGGGAGAGAGACAAGAGGGGGAGTAGAGAGAAGAGAGAGGATTCTGTTCTGCAGATACCTGTAATAAGAGGTACACACCCTTAATCCTGTGTGTCCTAATAAGGGCACATCTTGCAATAAAATACAAGTTATAAGTCTAAATGTAATTCCACACCACTGGAAATGTCACAGGAGTGCTTCTCATTTTGTGCAGGTGAAGCTCCTGCAAAATTTAGAAGGCAAGAAACACTCCTAGTTAGGCTCTAAAAACAAGTAGAAGTTCTGATTAAAGCCTGGTTGAATGCCTTGCTGAACAAAATGTAATCACAGAGTACATCATGTGCAATCAAATTAGAAAGGACCTTTTCTCCTATCTGTTCACCCATCTATGGTGAAGTAATTGCTTCTTCAGAATGAAATGTTAATAATGGCCCTTTAGACTTTGAATGCAACTAAAATGTTACATACAAAATAAAACCCTTTGGTTGCAGCATTCTATGATTTCAGCTGCTTGGAGTAACCCAAATTGAAGTCTCTGGTTTTATGTCACAAGGATGGCCTAAACCATATGTGACAATGGGATAATCTCAGAAAGCTGGCTGCAGTTGGAGTGCTTCTCATTTTAGTCATACCAAGTTAAAATAAAGCTGATAAAATTAATTAAATCTAATAAAAATATTAAGAGGTAGGTAAAACTCAAAAAACCCCTGTGAACAGCACAGTGACAAACATTAATCAAGATGCTGATTACTTTAACAAGTGTTCAGTGCACACATTTAACCTGTGCTGAAACTGCAAATAAGTATTACAGTACTACTCTATTGAAACTCTTGAGAAACAACCT